GGGAGGAGGGGGGGAGGGGAAGCCGAAGAAGGTTAAGAGGAAGATTATTAGGGCGTGAGTGACGATTAGGGGGGAGAAGGGAAAAGGGGTAGCATGTGGGATGGAGTAGGGAGTTTGGGAGGGGTGAATGAATGCATTTTGGTGCGCATCTTATGTGTTAGTGTCAAGTGTCAGTGATGTGAGGACTGCTGAAATAAGGAGTAAATTCGTCGCCAAACTACCCCCTCTCGTAACTCATTCTGTAGCGGATATCTCACAATGCAAAATCATCGCATACCCACCCCTCTACGCATCACACCTTTAACTCAAAAACCTCCCCTCCATATAAACCCCCCATCACCTATATTCACCTCCCCCCCTCTAATATCTCACTTCCCCCTAATACCTCCCCCCCCCATACCCCTGCCCCGGATACCCACCCCCTCCCTGCCCCGGATACCCCTGCCCAGGATACCCTCCCTGCTGCTGCGGTGGTCCCTGAGGAGGTCCCTGCTGCCACCCACCCTGCTGTGGCGGAGGAGGACCCTGCTGCCATCCTCCCGATTGCTGAGGGGGATAACCACCAGGTCCACCGGGGCCGCCATATGATGGCTGCGGCGGCGCGCCTCCGTAGCCGCCTCCGTAGCCACCACCTTGGTACGGTTCTTGGGCTTGGTATCCCCCGCCGCTTGAGGCTTGGTAGCTTGATGCTGGCGCGGCGTTGTCGTAGGAGTAACCCGATGGTCCGGATTGAGCGCCTAGATACGGTTCACCCCCACCGCTGCCGCCGCCGTAGGAAGGAGCGCCGCCTGGGGCAGACGAGTATCCGAACGCACCAACGGGTGTCGATGGCGAGGGCGAGATACCACGAGATGGCACATCATCAATCTCGCGCATCGCACCCAGATCACGGGCTTGGATCTTCCCCCACACCGCGCTAGCAGCCTGCCCATACCCTCCGAATCCACTATGGGAGTTATCCGGGCCATGGGAGTGAACGGCTGGATTCCCGCCCTTGTGGTTCCCGCCCGACTTGACGGAGGCGGAGCCGAGGACGTGGTTGAGGTTGCTGCGGTGCGGGTTCTCGTCGACCCATTTCTTGACGGTGTTGAACATGTTGCGGTGGATCTCGAGGCGCTCGTTGCGCGCGGCGGGGTGGTGGAAGACGTTCAGGATGTCGGCGATTACTTCGTCGACGGGGACGCCGGGGTGTTCCCAGGCGTAGAGGATGCGGCTGGGGGAGGGGGGTTAG